TTAATTTATTGTTCAACCAAACCCCATCTTATCTTATCCAAATGAATGCCAAAAATCCCCATATAGCAATAATCAATACTCATGTATAACTAGTGCTATAATCTCGATCAGAAAATAAATCTCTGTTTTTATGCACAGAATCAAAACTAATTAATATTATTTATATAATAATCTATTGATATTTGTTTATTTTCTTATTTTGTAAAAAATAAAAAAAAGGAAGGGGTGTCATAGATAGAAGTGCAACCCCACCCTCCATACAGGTGGGAAGCAATTTAGATAGGGTGCTTTGAGAGTGGAATCCACTCCTAAAGATACTTGACCTCAGGTTCTAATAATTTAAACTCTCCTGTTTAATGATTGCCAATGCCAGTAATCATTGTCATCTTCTGTGCAAGTTCCAGGTTTTGGTCCACATAACTTAGCCTAATTACTGTCTTAAATATTGGGTACACAGAGCTTCATAGTTTCATGCAACCCCAATTAATTAACCAGGATAAAGTTAATCTAATGCAGGACCATGAAGAACCGGTATCTGTATAGGAAGGATATATGGTGGGCCATTTTAGATGACATTCGGTTTTACTTTCGAGTCATTTGACACTAAAGGAAGAATCTATATATTCCCCACTATTGAGATTTAGGAGAGCCAGTTCTTGTTTGGTATGGGTATGGGGAATTGCACCTGTGACAAAATGGGTTAAAAACTTAAAATTCATTCAGTACCAAAACAACAATGCCACAAAAATTTTCTTGGAAATGGTAAAAGGCATCAAGTGGATTATTAATGAGTTAAAGCAAGAAAAAATTTAAAAAATATATCTTTTGACCTATTTCATACAGTATCTTTAAAAGTTTTACAACATATAATTAAATAGAATTTCAGATTTATATATATTACAGGTAGTTTAATATATATGCATGTATTGTTGAATTTTGGCAATAGTCACTACATTTCTGCGAGAGGATTGGCTTTTTTTTTCTGTAAAAAGATGACAAAATTTGTACTGTGCTATTTAATTTCTCCTGTCATCCATAATCTAAAGATACGGATCAGAGATAGATGTATAACAGAACTCATGCCAACTTGTGTGTTTTGAACTCATCATCCCATGCATCACCAAAATGCTTTCTCTTTTCTCGTTTAAAATCATAGCTACATCTTTTTTTTTCTTTTTTTTTTTTCCCTTCTTTATGTTTGGATAAATATCTACCATGGCCCTTCAAAAAGTGTATAAAGTATTGTAAAATGCTTCTAAAAGCTCAATTCATTGTGGTGTGAGAACGTCATAGGCTCGTAGCACTTCGATTAGGATAAACATATCGTTATCTCATGAATGTCTCTTCAAATTTATTATTGTTATTACTATGCATTATAAAGCCTTTTACACTTTTTCCTTAACATTGCATCATATATATATAAATTTACATTTAATTTAATTTTCTAGTTTTTGGGATATTACCCAAAATTTAATTAATGAGTAAAGTTACTCCTACAGTGATCTAATTAAAGAAGCATGAAAAGGAACTGTTTTATATTTTGAGTTATCTATTGGATGTGGATTCAGGTTTTTAATTAACTTTCCAGATAGGATAATATGTATTAGAGAAAGCCTCATGGCTTAAGAGTAGTAACTTAGTTAGGAGAGTTTTTTTTGAACGTATCTTTATTTTCTATTTAATTTTTAAATAAAAAATTCTTCTTCGCTGATAACAAAAATTTACAATTATTGGACATTCTCCCCTACTTTTTTATTCTTTATTTTTTAATCTCCTCAGTTAGAGCAAGAATATTAAGCATTGGACATGTCGTATACCCTAAAATAGATTGCAATTAGAGCAGCTCAAGTTAGATGAATGGTAGGAATATTCTTCAGTTCTTGTTTGTATATATTCCAAGATGTTGTGAGAAAGGATTCTGAGGAATGTTCTTTTTGTTACTAAACTTGAAAAAAAGAAAAACTCGATTCTTGCAGTGTGAAAACTCTCGAAGGTTTAAAAACAAACAGAATGTATTTGTTTTGTCTGAAAGCTACTTTGAACTGCCCACAAATAAAACTTGCTTGATTGAACATGGAAACTTTACAAACCGCTATCATGTTCCAAAAATACTTTGATTTTAAAAATGTTAAAAGACAACTTTCGTGAGAAATCTCTAACATCCCACGTGAATTAATTTGTCTTCGAGATAACTTGAGAAATGCAATTTTTAATTGATGATGGATAAAACCTTTCGCATAATATTATCACACTACTAAAAAAGAATTATTAAAATACTATTCAAATATCTTTTTTATTTTGTTATTAATTTACTCTAATTAAAATTTTTTACCTAAAGAAACCATTACCTTAATTTAAAACGAATCATAATTAGGAATGGAAGTAAGGTGAATATATATATATATCTTAAATTTATTTAAAATTTCTTTTAAAATACTCATACCTAAATCTATTTTAAATTTTAATATATGCACCGTTTCAAACCTATTTTAGATAATATTTATCTCGTAATAAAAGTTTTTGAAACTAAAGTTGAAAAAACAAAGTAAGTCTATATAATAATATAATTTTGCTTATTTTATATTTTTAAAATGGATTTTTTTAAAATTTTTTTACATATATACATTCTTTTTTTAGTACATTGAAAATATTTAAAGAGAAAAAAGTACTTGTTAAAATTCAACACTTAATCACTTAATTTAATACATTTAGCTTTAGCAACTAATTCATATACATATTCTTTTCAAAAAAAAAAAAAATAATAATAATAAATTTAGTGGCTCTTGCGTATGGTATGGTTCTTTCAATATTTTTAGTGGCTCTTGTGTATATAGTATGGTTCTTTCAATATGTTTACACGTGGAAATTGGTCCTCTAGGATTCCATTTAACTTGTATAAGAAGCGTTTTACATGTGTATCTTTAAAAAAAAAAATCTAGAAAGTTATAAAAATAATTGGATATCTTAATTTTACATTCGTATGGACTAACAAAAATGAATTCATGATTGGAATCGAAAGTGAATATGAAAGAAACATGCACGATTACCATGCACGCACAAATTATATTTATTTTTTCTTTTTCAAAACTCCGTAATATCTCTAACCTTAGCTCATCAAGCCTATCCCCAAAACATGAAAAGGAAGGGAGAAAAGAAAAAAGAAAAGAAAAGAAGAAGAAAGCAAGCAGGTTCGATTATTGTTGAAGATTAGTCCGTTCGATTGCAGTTAGTGCTCGACAAGAGGCGATAGAGGCAGCTAATCATAAAAAAAAAACACAGACAAATCATTTTGTTTTTGATGTGTGGTAAGAATCTGGAGTCGTCACTCTATCATCACCAACTAATTAAACAAAAGTAAAAAAGAAGAAGAAGAAGAAGAAGAAGATACGTAGCTTCAGATTTGTGGGTCAAGATTACCTCATCGTAAGCCTTTATGCCCGTCTCACCTTTGCATTTTGTTTTTCAGTCCCTTCAAAATGGCCACCTGGACGATAAAAAGGAAACCCAAACCCGATCATTACCAAGACAATAACATGCAAAGATAGTGAGACTAGTGTTGACATATTCAAATCACGCAACACTAACCGACTAATTCAATTAATTATGTAATCTTCTCTTTTTATACCGATAGATGTTATTTTTATAATATTTTTAATATAGTTTTAGAGCTATTTTCCTACTTAAATAATTAAAATTGATTAACGAACTCATAAAATAAATTGGATAGAATTAAGTGAAGTCAAAATCTCCAGTAGTCTTTAATCCTTGATTTCTTTTAATAAAAAATTGCTTGCTTGATTTCTTTCTATTATATTTATTTGTTGAATTTAGTTTCTAAAAATAATTTCCTTATATCGTCGTTTAAATAATAGTATATTAATATAATTTTAATATTTGATATATAATTCTCATGGGAACGATATTCTACTCATTCTATATTACTTGTCGTGAAAATCATTGTCATATGCTAATCAAAGAATGATTGACGCTAATCAGTATTATCACTACAATTAATAATATGCATTGTTTCTCACGTATCACATTGTGAGACGTCATAAAGGCAAAACTTTTGTCTTCGAAAGTTTCCCAATAATATGTGATAATCACGTCCTTAAAGAAAACTTGGTATTTTTGTCTGTCGACACCGATTAGACCTCTCGCATATATATCCTCTCTTATGGTGCAATTACTATACAAATATTAAATATTATACATTAATTTGATGATGATATTATTATTATTATTATTTTTAGCGAATCATGCGGCGAATGTCCATTAAAGCTCGTGCATGTGTTAAATTTTCTCCATGCATATACCAATTATCACAAAAAGTGAGTCCCACCACTCTCTTAATGTGTATGAAGTCTACCTTGTGGTGTAGACTCGCTCAGATACTAATCAGTTATCATGAATTTTTTTTATTCATATAATAGTATTTGTTATCTTTTTACTAGAAAAATGAACCAATTAATAAATATTATAACAGCTTTTTCAAATGGTAATCAATTATTGACCAGGTATATAAGCAAATGTAAGCATTTTTTTTCAAAAAAAGAAAATACATCCCGTGATGTGCATCTCAATATCTTCGAAAAATCATATATAAAGATATAATTTAGTAGTAAATATATATACGACTTGATAATATAGATCCATATTTGAATTCTCTTCCCAGTCCTCAAAAAATATATATATTCTCGAAAATCTACCAATTTTTCTATCTTTAGAATATTAGGGAAGTTGACCCAATTCCTCGTAAGGCTATGAACCCCATTGGTACTACTAGTAATAAATAATATAATATAATATTTTAATTAATATTTGATGGAATGAAATGGGTTTTGTCGTTGATGAGATTGGGACAATATCAAACACATACACTTTAATTTTTGTTCTTTTTTAAAGGAGGCAATTAAGGAAAGACCTCTTTGATTATGCAACAATGCCAAAAAATCAATTTATCTTTTGTAATTAATATCAGAAATTAATATTCATGCATGTCGTTATAAACTGTCCGTAGAGATTTTATTTCTTGAACAAAAGAGATACATATTACAAGAAGATTGATATATTTATTAACTAGAATTTAACATAAACAACATTTAGAGATTAATTAACACTGCGGCTTGCAGTTGCAGCCTTACACATAGATGTGGCACCACAATTTACACGAATACATGTAAATTAAAAGAAAGATACTTAAAAATAAAAAATAAGAGACTCGTCCATTAACCGTTGTGAAGGACCCCAAGTGATACTGATAGCTTCAGGGAAGAAGCAAAGATGAGAGCCAGGACGCGGGATTGGAGAATGAAATGTGGTAATTAAACTTTGTTGGAGACATCCATTTCTTGCTTATTGTTAGTTCTTAAGTTCTGTTCTTTAACTTCAGCTTGTTGATCGTTTCCATTATTAGTTGTCTGTGGAATTGGAACCACAACTGTATTAATCTCAGAGCACAAAGTTGCACTTAGCTTTGCAACATCAACGATATGGTCAGATAATTCTCGAAGTTTTGGCTCTTCCACTGTCAATTTCTGGGGTTTCCTGTAGATCAAATAGATTACCATCTGTATAATACCAAAGAGAAATCCAAGTGTATTTGGAACCTGTAATTGACAAAACAATAAGAAACAATTAATAAAGAGAGAAAGAGAAGAAAAAAAGAGGTACGTGATCACGATGCATGTATGGATAACTTACAGCAACATAAATATCTTTCTTTAGAAAGCCATAGAAGAACCACATGACAGCTGTTAAGGTGAGGAAGAAAGATAAAGAAAAAGGCATGAACTCTACGCTCTTTGTTTTTATAACTTTTCTCTGCAAATACAGTTAAGAAGAGACAAAAGAAAAGATAATTAGCAAGAAAAGTTACAGTATAATAGGAAAGGAAAAGAAACATTTTCTTGAAAGAAAAAAAAAAGAAATTGCATTCTCACCATAATACCAAGAGGTGCAACGAACACACAAAGAGCAAATACCATGCAAATCCATCCAAGAACGTCAACACGTTTCCGGCCATGGGTAAGGAAAAGAGTTAATATACAAATGGTTCCAAATCCAAAAACGTTGAAGAAGAGAACAAGTTTTATGGTGAACATCTGCAGCAAAAAAAAAAAAAAAAAAAAAAAGACAAGTTTTTATGGTGACATCTTGCCAGCAAAAAAAAAAAAAAAATGATAGAACATAAAAAAAAAAAAAAAAAAAAATGATCGAACATAAATTTCAATATTATATTATAATAATAAAAAGCGAAAAAGTTTTTAAGTTAGTGGAATTACTGTATATTAGATTAGATACATACCCTATCGTTCTTTGTGGCATAGATAAGGTACACAATAATGTAGCAAATCTCCATAAAGAAGGTGAAAGTGTTGATAGTGATGAGAAGAGTGGCATTATTATCAAAAATTGCATAGAATAACCATAGCATAGCACTAAATAGTGCAATCACATATGGAATAGACTGAAACCCTTCGCTTGTTTTCTTCTTGCAAATTTGATAAAAAGTTGGCCTGAAATGTAAATAAACTGTTCATCATATATGATAAATTTGAAATAGATATTCAAGAGCACCAAATTTTACAGGAAAAAGACTTACAAAGGAGCAAGGCACACCATGGCAGAGATGATATTAGCTAAAACTCCAAAAATGAACACACCAGACAAGTGCAAGGCCATTTTTTGTTCTTGTTTCTGCTACTCTCTTTCTCTGCAATTAGCAGCTAGAAATGTGTTGAGTAAGGGAAATCTAGTAGCTTAGCTTTGTTGGTGCAATGAGGAATGAGGAAGGAGCGGTTTATATAGTAAGCAAAAGCAAAAGAATCAAGGAGTGAAGGTCCAAGTTGCATGCATAATTAAAATAAAATGAATTTATGATGTCAATGTAACAGTGGGTATTTACTATTTATTTTTATTTTTATTAATTTAGTATTTAAAAACGAAATTCTTATGTCCTTTCCAGTTGGTCCTACTACTAGACTTTTTACGTCAAAATAATCCAAACAGCTTTCTATCTCTAATGCCCTATCTTTACTGCATTTGGTTAATTTTTCTTCAAGGTAAACTTTCTCTCTCTAAAGTTACCCTACTTGTTGGTATCATTCATAGTACGTGCACAAAATTGGTAGGGTCCCACGTGGTTTCTTTCTGATGTGTCACCCACTAAGTGGTTTAAGGGTTACAACTCATGTTTCAGTTCCAGAGGACTTCCTCATTATTCTTTCTTTCTCTAGAGATTTCATACATTCAACTTACCAATTACTCTTTTTATTTTTTTTTTTCTCCAATTCATAATTCTTTCCCCAATTCATAAGACGCTAGATGGATGGAAAGAAAAAAATATTATGGACTACATAAAATGTTCAAATTTGAGACTTTTCACTATTCGTATATAGAATATATTACTACCGATAATTAATTAATTATTGATGAAAAATTTTATACATAGTATAAAATAACTAACAATTTTTTTTTACTTTTATTCTTTTTAGCAAAATGATCTTGGATTAAGAAAATTACACAGAATTTTTTGATTTTTAAAAAAAGAAATCTTTGCCATCGATTAATCTAATCTTCAAAAGACATTTCAATTGTTTCAAGTAATACCGAAAAAATTGATTAATGTTAGTATTTTAATTTTTTTCGTACAAGGGATATATATGATCATCTCTAAACTCATGCAATTATATAATAATATTAAAGGCAACTATAACTAATTAATGAGAGGATAAGGGTTAAACCTGAAATTTTGTTGTCTTAAAACATCAACGTAAATCAGGAGCTAAATGAGAAAATAAAGTTAGGAAGGCGAAACATAATTTTTTACTCTTTGAGGGATCAAAGTATCATTTTCCACAAAAAAAAAAAAAAAAAAAATTGTAGGGATCAAGTATCAATTTTCCCAACAAAAAAAAAAAAAAAAAAAAAATGTTAATATTAAAAAAAAAAAAAAAAAAAAAATGTTAATATTTTCTGAGTGGGGCAGTGGCCCCCTCAGCCTTCCACGTAGTTCCACCTCTAGCCTAACCCATCTAGAGTACATGTCATTACTGATTATTAAACCAAAATTATAATGCTTAATTAAGGCAAATAATGCAATGTAATACAAGCAAGACCTAATTAAGGAGTGAGCTATATCGCACTGGAACGGGGTCAACTAACTAATATTAGTGAACCCACTTGGCTCATTCTCTTACTAGGGTTTGAAACTTACTTCATTTGTTACAGAATCATATCATTCGCCTTTTGATGTGTAATCGCACTTGATGATGCATGGTGGTGAAACCATTCAGGATCTTTGCTCTTTCAGCAAAATACAGCCAATCCAACGGTGGAGAAACGATCTCACAATCATACCAGAAGATACATATGGTTTTTTACCAGGACAAGAAATTATCAGTACGTACATTTAGTTTTTCCAATTGTCCCACAAACCCATCAGCCGCCATAACTGGTTATGATCCTCTTTGTTGTGGTATCACTTAGCAACCACTCACGTGCTTCTTCATGCCAACCACGTGCATCTTGTTAATCGACAACGTTGATAAATAATAATATATAATGGAATAACCCACAAGTTTATTCGGTAATTAACGAATTTGGTGCTTTATCCCTAAAAAAACAAAGACAACTAACAAATATAACGAAATATGAATCGTGTTCATAGGTCTAATTAAGCTGGCTAGGGTTAGGTCTCTTCTTCTAGATTTAATTTTAAAGCTCTAAATAGTACTTAACTAATGAGTCTAAAAGTTTTAATTAATTTCCTCATTGGAGGGCCACTGAATGTTGACACTGCTAGCGGTTTATTAATAATCCATGGGTGCCAGGTTGGTATTTCTGGCGGTTTTGACTTTTGAAGAAATGCTTGTGCTTTGCAGGTATATATCTCGTTAGAGTCTTAAGTCATTATTATTGTTAATTAGATCCATGTCAATTAAAACAAATCACTAATTTAAAAAAAAAAAAAAAAAGAAAAAAAATAAAATCACTAATTGTTTTCTTCATATACGAGACTTAAATTCTGGTTCAACTCCCTGTGTTATTATGAAGGTAAAAATTCCAATATTATTATAATATAAGAAAACATCTTCTGCCTCAACTCCTTTCTTACAAGAGAATCAGAAAATGACGGTTTTAATGCAGTTTGTAGTTCAACATATAAAACCTTCGACAGTGACTTCCCTTCGTTTGATGTTTAAAAGATATGCAAATTGTTGCCAATTAATTAAATAATATATTAATTCAGATTATGAAATAAAAAATGAGATGCCCAGCAATCAAGCATGCAAATTGTTGAAGAAGTCAAGAATATTAACACATTGACCTAATATTTTCAAGACAAAACCGTCAACCTTATGTAAAATTGTCTTCAGGCATATGTTACATGAACAACTTGATCACCCCGCATGTAATTCAAAATTTCTTCAGTGGATGTCATCTGAAAGTGAACAAGAAGAAGAAACACTAATTACCTAACTTTTTTTGTACTTTCAAATTGAATGTCGTCCAATCTTTTCATAAATAGTTTCATGAGCCCTACAAATGGTATGCTATGTAATTTCTGATCACTCTTACAAATCGACGAAAAATAAATATTAATTTAATGAAATGAAAATCAAAGGATCAAATAGGGAATACTCATTGGCATCTCAATGATAGATATTTTGAAAACATACATTTGAATGAAAATTTTCTGCATACACGAAAAGAAAAAAAAAAATGCTTTTCCATTTTGAGTTTGAACCCATGACCAAAAGGCAAGCAAATTCATTACTGAAATGCATAATATAAATCTCCCTATTTATTTATACTCTATGCTGAAGGCCTGTCCAAGCTATTTAGTAGATCTGAAAATGAAGGTCGTATCCAAGGCTGTAGAGTATCGAGAACTGCTCCTTGGTTATCTCACTTGTTGTTTGCAGATGATAGCTTGTTCTTTTTTGAGGCATCACAGATTCAAGCTCTGGAGATTACACATATTCTAATTACTTATGAAGCAGCCTCGGGTCAAGCAGTTAATTGGCAAAAATCTGGTATTTTTTTCAGCTCTAATACTTCTGAAGTGGATAAGGATGCTGTTAAAGGGGTTTTTCATGTGATTGCTCCTTTGAACCATGGAAGATATCTCTGAAGTGGATAAGGATGCGTTAAAGGGGTTTTCATGTGATTGCTCTTTGAACCATGGAAGATACTCGGCCTAGTACTACCCTCATTAGTTGGTCGGTGACCAAGAGGCATATTTTTCTTTTTTGAAGGATCGTGTGAGGAAGTTGGTTAGGTGGTTTTGAACCAGAAACTTTATCCAAAGCAAGGTAAGAGAGGTGTTAAATTCAAGGCTGGTGGCACAAGCTATTCCTCATTCTATATGAGTGCTTTCTTATACCACATCTATTTTAGAGGAGTTACAAGATTAATGAATCTTATTGGTGGGGAGGGAAGATGAGATGGTGTAGTTGGAAAAGGCTGTGCGTAGGCGAGGGAAGAAGGAGGTTTGGATTTTTAGCATCTGCGAGCTTCAATCTAGCCATGCTAGAAAGCCACTGCTGGAGACTTTTACAAAATTCTCTCTTTTATAGTTCTTTCAAATCCAAAGTTCTTTCAAATCCAAATATTTCCCAAATGGGGATTTCCTTGGTGCAGGCACTGGCAGCAATCCAAGTTTTGTATGGAGAGGAATTTGTGCAGCTAAGGATGCTATTTGTTCAGGTTTTCGGTGGCGAATTGGAGATGGCCAATCAGTAAATGTCTGGAATGAACCGTGGCTACTGAGGGATAATCAGTTTCAGGTTAACTTGCCTATCCTTCCTGGTTTTGAGCATATAAGGGTTTCAGATCTTATTTTGGCACAAGGAGATCGTGCTTGGAACTTGCCGTTGATAAATGGTCTTTTCAACTCTTCAATTGCTGAAGCTATTACCTCTATTCCTTTAGCTACAACCGTTCAGGACGACATCCTTATATGGCATTGGACAGACTCGGGGATATATTCCATGAAATCTGGATATAAAATAATAGCATCTCACTATGTGGAAACTGAAGAAGCTTGGCAGTCGGGTTTTTGGAAAACCCTTTGGTCACTGAAAGTTCCGTCGAAAGTGAGGCATTTCCTCTGGAGGTGTTGTAGAGACATTCTGCTAGCTAAAGCAACTTTGGCAAGAAGGGGTTTGGAGCTTGATACAGGATGTGATTATTGTGGGGCTGTTGAAACATTAGTCCATGCTCTTGTTGAGTGTCCAAGAGCAAGTTTTTGTTGGCAGTTTTTTGGTATTCAGCTGAATATTGGCATTTTTCCAAATTTCTTACAGATGTTGGAAGATGTGGAACATTTTAACACAAGGTGTGGGAGATTGAGTTCTTTGAGAGTTTTTTTTATTATGGGACTTTGGATGTTAAATTTGGTTGAGCCGTATGAGTTGAATGTTGAAATGGAACCAAGTAGCAGAAGGACCGTATCATGTGATTACTCGAGCTAGAAGCATGCTAGCCTCTTGGAAGAAAGCCCAGCTGAAGTCGTCTGATTCCGGTATAGATGTTTTTGCAGGTAATCAATGGCTGCCGCCACCTGCTGGCACCTTCAAAATCAATTTTGATGCAGCTCTCCTCCCCTCTGTTGGCCATGGAGCTTTTGGTGCTGTAATTTCAAACTGTCATGACAAATTTTTATCAGCATCAGCGTCATCATTGCGGGGTTGTTCTTCTCCAGCATTAGCTGAAGCTCAAGCGCTTAGAAATGTTTTGTCATGGTTGCTGTCGGACTACTCTAGTTTGCAGTTTCAGGTTGAGACCGATTGCCTGCAAGTTTACTATGCTATGAGGAGTTCTGTCTAAGACTTGTCTGAGTTTGGAGTTGTCATCTGGAGTTGTCCATTCGTCTGAATGTAAGTTTTCTTAGTCCAATACCTAATGTCACTTTGGCTTGGATTAGGAAGACAAGCTAATGATCAATAGCTCATGTTTTTGGCTAAATCAGTTCCTAGTGGGGCTTTGTTTTTTCGAACTTTGGGATAATGTCACTTTGGCTTGGATTAGAAGACAAGCTAATGATATAGCTCATGTTTTGGCTAAATCAGTTCCTAGTGGGGCTTGTTTTCGAACTTGGGATATTGCTCCCACTTGTATTGCTTGTTTCTTCTCTTAATAATATATGAGCAATATTTCAATGTCAAAAAAAAAAAAATCTATGCAATACAAAACAAATCTAATGCACATGTACATGTTTTGTTTGCTTACGTTGAACAATACAATTAATTCCGGCTGCTCGAAAGCCCAGCCCAAAACCTATAATGGAATTCCCGTTTTCAGGAAGCAACAAAAGCAGTGTACATGATGTTAGCTACTGTTTGGCCCAAAAGAAACAAACTACTGCTGTCTCAGTTTTATTGTGTTAGATCACATGTTTGGAAAGAAACATAATTTACTTACCAAACATAACTTAGTTTATTCATATATTTGGGTTCGCACTCGATTATATTTGAAAACTATACTTTGTTCTGATCCACATCCATGGCCCGATCCGTTAATGATAAGAAATGCAATGATGATAATCCAATTCAAGGTAATGACTGACCAAGACTATTTTCTGCATTATTATATTTAGTATTATTATATCATTTATTTCCTTTCAATTTTTAAAACCGATCTAACCATTGGAAGGTAAGATATGGATAAAAAGATCAAAGATTATATATGAATTGAACCAAGTTTAAATCAAATAAAATTTATATTAAAATTATCATGCTCATCTCAATCGTAATAATAATAATAATTATAGTAATCGTAGGTAAGATTATGCCTAGATATTTGTGACATCCGACTGCTTTGAAAAGAAAAAAAAAAGAAAAAAGAAAAGAAAAGCAAGCATTAAGTTGAATATGTATTCAGAAACATTAAAGTTAAATAATTACATGCATGCATAAAGTTAAATATATAACTTGTTATTTCACCTCCATCCCTGTTTTTGCTTACAGAAAGATACATAAATACATGGAAGACTGTCTCTATATATATAAGACACACTCAGATATATATATATATATATAGATGCTAATCCTTCACTTACAAACTTTACATAACGTAGTAGAGAGAGAGAGAGAGAGAGAGAGAGCTATTTAAAGATAGGAAGCTATCTTATAAAATGACATAAACATGAACACACGGACAGGGAGGAGTTAATTAATTAAGGCGTAGCTAGTAGATGTTAATTAATCAAGCATGACATGCAATAAGCTGGCCTCCAGTTCCACCAATATTAGCCATGGCCATGTTCTCTTCGTTGTTTACATCATTCCGATTTGGCTGCAGCTGCTGCTGCTGCTGGGCCGAGCATACAGCTTCTTGCATCTCGCAAGTAATACTCTCCAATTTTATATCATCCACGCTATTCTGCTGTAACTCAGGGTCCTTGGCTACTGTCGCTGGCTTGTGATTCCTGTAAATTACGAACAAAATCATCTGAACCACCCCACATAGAAATCCCAACACGTTCGGTCCCTGAAATGGAAAATTGGAACAATATATATATATATATATCAGAAAAAAATAAGGTTTCTAATTAATCTTGCGTACGAAATAGAGCACTTACCGCAATATACAAGTCCTTTACTAGTATTCCATAAAAGAGCCACATAATGGCACTGAGTGTGAGAAAGAATGACAGTGGAAATGGCAGGAACTCCACACTTTTGGTTTTTATGACAACCCTCTGCATATATAATCATACATATATTATTATCTTTGAATATTAATAAACATGTAAGTGTGCTTAATTAAAACGAAGATTATACTTAATGGTGCTTGCTTGGGAAGTGGGTAACAAAAACAAAACTCATACTATATAATTAAGGAACAGGAAAAAATAAAGCTGAGTGGGAAGGCAAAAGATCAGAAAGTAAACTAAAAAAAAAAATACTATTACACATAAAAACAAAAAAAGAGATTGCATTAAATCCTCACCATAATACTTAAAGGTGCTGCAAATACAGCAAAAGAAAATACTACATTGACCCATCCAAGCATTTGAATCCGAGCCGATGGTCCTTTTGCAAGAAAATGGGATAGAAGAAGAATCAAGCAGAATCCACCAAAGTCAAACAAAAGAAGTATCCTCAGAGTGGACATCTGCATTAATTTGAAAAAACGATAATTTAATTAATGAATAAATAGGGTTAATAGGATGATTAGTGAGTCATTGTAATTGTTACGTACCCTGGCTTGCTTTGGTGCATAAACGATGAAGAGGGCAATGTAAATGGTCTCTATGAAACAACCGAATGAGTTGATAGTCATGAGAAAGAAACCATCGGTCTTGAGAGTAGCATAGTATAGCAAAATCGAAGCACTGAATAGAGACACCAAATATGGGAATGATTGGAACCCTTCTGTTGATTTCTTCTTACAAACCCTTATAAATGTTGGTCTGCACCATTATTGCTAAATTAATGAGTTTTCATTTTTCTTTACACAACTAATAAATGGATCGTAGACTTCATTATTCGTATCATGATATCAGGCCAATATAATATCAAAACGCTCCACCAACAGGTTTTAATATCTCTAAATACTGTTATAAGTTTGTAAATAATATATGACATTAGTTAAAATAACACAAATAAATAAATAACTTACATGGGAGCTAGAAAAACCACAAAAGAAGTGATATTGCCTACAAAATTGAAAGGAAAATTAGAAATTTTGCGTTCTACACTTGGTAATCATACTTTCAATGTAAAATTATCACATTTTATAAATAACTTGAAATTGTGAGAAAATAGAGGAAATATACCTAGAAGACCAAATGCAAAAGCACCAGGATTGTCAGTGGAAAACAAGCCCATGTCTATTTTTTGTGTTCTCTCTCTCTCAAAACAACAAGGATTTGAAGATGGAAGCTAGCCCTAGCAATTAGTAAATTTCTCTCAAGCAAGCCATACCATGAAGCATAAGCACAAAGAATGTGACATATTTATAGGCACAAGAATGGTGCATGAGGACTTAGAATGTGTACAAATGATGGTTAGCAAATTAACTTTTTGGGGTGCACCAAAATAGTGTGCGCCGAATGCCAACTCAACAACATTACTTGTGCATATTGTGGTGGGTCAATCACCATTCTCCCTTTGTTTACTTACGTTACACACCCAACAAAAGCTTAAATTGCTTTTCCAAAAAAATAAAAATAAAATTTCTTTCACGTGACAGTACCCATTTCATAACCCTTTTGTCTGATAATTAATTATTACATTACATGGTCATCATTTTGTACAGGAGGTTTGGCCGTTTCTCTTTGAAATCCTATTTGTCATATTAATATTAAACGCAAACCGTCAAAATAAAAAAACCAAGTTCAGCCTTACTTTTGTACCACTAAATCACTGCTTATTGCATGCAATTCTCATGCTCTTCTCATAAAAACATGACAAGTGTGATTATCAAGATGAGGTTACTATAATTAATCTATCATGAGCGCACTAATTACATAATTATATAATAATTAAGTTTTAAGTTAATTTTATTCTCTTCACATTTTAGGTGAGTAATCATCAAGAAATTCTTTTGTTTTGTTTTGTTTTGTTGTTGCGTTCTATCTCATATAGCTTTTGACTGTCACGCGTGAATAGCTGGATGTTCAAACCAGCTTCCTATGGTTACATGTGGCACCATCTTTCAGTTTGTTAAAATTGTACGTGTCTACTTCGTATATGTAAAGTTTATTATTATTATTATTTTATGTCATAAACCCATCTCGTTATCGCCCATTTCGCTCCTTTCTTCTTCTTCTTTTTTTTTTTTTTTAAATGGTTACAGTGTGGCACCATCTTTCAGTTTTGGTTTAAAATTTGTACCGTGTTACTTCGTTATATGTAAAGTTTTATTATTATTATTATTTTAGTGTCATAAACCCATCTCGTTTATCGCCCATTTCTGCTCCTTTTCCTTCTTCTTCTTTTTTTTTTTTTTTTTTTTTTTTTTAAATGTAATTTCAGAGGGTGGTACGTTGTCAATTTGCAAAACGATTGTAACTGGATTATAAATCTTTTCTCTATTTGAAGGGTTATCTCCAACTCCAATAGTAAAGGTATGCATAACTTGCACTCTTAATTAGTTTAATTTGCTCTAGAATGCCAAGCCATTCGACTAATTTTTTTCGTTTCATAACTCAAAAAAATATCAATTACGGTATAAATTTTAATTAAGACAAATTTTTTCCTCGTAATTCGACTTTAATCAAAATTAAAATAAATTTATAATTGTATAATTCTTAAAAGGAATCCAATATTAATTAAAATAAAATGATGAAACACCTTAAGAAAATTTTCTAATTTAACAAGTGATTTTTGTATTGATTCTGTGTCTTCCTTTGTTGCTTTTATTTACGAAAAAGAGAATTTAATTATTCGCTTTTGCAAATCCCTTGATCGATCTCAAGTTAAGTAATTTTGTTCATTATAATAAAAAATTAATAAGTTTACACTAATAATTGTCCCCCTTAAGTATGAGAAGGCATCATTTTGTTCGGACCACCCATAGCCAAATCATACCCACTGAACCGTGTGAGTAGCCGCCCATCATGGAAGAACCAAATGATGTATAAATAAGCGAGTTATGCCCGTTGGCAAGGAGAATGAATACTTATCCATTGTAAATCAAGCCTAAAACGCTGTCGTTTGGTTTAGGATTGATAGGAGAGGTTCTTTAGTGGAATTCCTAATCAGTTGTTCAGTTGTCAGTAGGTGGGACCTTATAACGACCACATCAGCGTGTTTCTAACGGATCCTCAATGAGGTCACAATTGTTATCAAAAAAATAAATTAGGTGTATTGATAGAAAAAATTAAAAGAATTGATTAAAATTGTTGGAAAGTCTAAAATTTAGGATTTATTTGACCATGCGTAATTTTTTATTAGCTTGTTCTTTTTTTGTTAGTGAATTGTCAATCGTACCTTCGTTCACACCAAATTACTTTATAGAACTAATTTAGTGTATAGATAGTCTTATATATTAATTAAGGGCAAGTAAGTCATCATATTGTGGTACCACCTTAATACGACGCTATGCCATTGACTAATAGTAAGTATTTTTACACTCTAAAGTTATACTCGGTAATAACTTTTCAGGAAGTTTTTAGTCAAAATAGTAAATATTATTTTTTATAGTATTCGGTAATATAGTTTTTGAATTAGATTTTAAAAGTTAAAATAGCGTTTTATAAAAAGTTAATTCATATAATATTTATCTTTTAATATTTTATGAAACACAACTCAAACAGCTAACAGCTAAATGCTATTAAAACAATTAATTTCACCGAATAGACCGTAAATGAGAAATCCGTTAATAATCTAGTATGTACAGAACATGAAATTCCACACATAAATCTGCCTCTAGCCAATATGTAAAGGGTGTCATATCTCACAGAGAAAAGTATATCATAAACTCTTTTTTTTCCACATTTTTACATTAGAATATCATAATCCTAGAAGTCCCACAAATTAAGGAATTCAGCACGAAAGAGGCACCCTGATTGCATCAGAAATAGTATATTTGAAAACTGATTGTAGAATATCTATCTTACTATTAGAAATAAGAAAGATATTCTAAAATAAAAGAAAGATATAAACAAAAAGAGAGATTGAAATATTATTAATGGGTAAAGATGGATGTGGGTTTTAAAGTGTGGTAGGTGAAGAGTAGAATATTATGTAGACCACCTGAATTGATGATAAGATAATGCTAAGTAGATCTCCCATCAACCGTGATCCCAATAATTAAAGATTGGCTAAACTCCGCCCACTCATCATTACTATAATAATATGAGGGCTAGATATTTGTGTGGCTACACAGTGGAGTTACTATAGTGGTTTGCACGTGTGAAATTTCTGGGATACTAGGTTGTATATATTGTTGTAATAAAGAGTTCATTTTAGAAACCCTAAATTTATTCCTAAGTGGGTATTGAAAGAAACTTGCACCATTGACGTGAACTACCTTACTTTTCAGTTTTAATTCTTCTTAACTCACTAATTTAAGCATATAGTTAGCGACAAGTACAATTATGCTTTGTACTTTATTTGCTTTATTAGTTTCAGGTTAGTATTATTCTAGCAAATTTCATTAGTGGGTATCCCATTCTGTAAGTGATGATGAACACTCCAAAATAATGGGTTCCATTTAAAAGTTCTGTGTTCATGCCTAATTATATATTTTTTTTATCTCTTGTTTATCAAAGCACCATTGAGATGATGCAATTCATTTCTTTCGGGAATATTATGCATCTTAACAACAAGAATCATACGTCGTTAAACCCTAATTCTAAATTAATTAGAGTCAATTACATGAATTTTTTATTTTTTTTATGCTCTATTGATAACTAAATCTGCATCAATGTTAAAGAAGCTGAACCAATGAGAAGAGAGAACGGACACTATGATTTTAGAGTAATGCATGTCAGTTAAAAGACTCGAAGTTTTTCTGGTATTATAGATGACCGGAAAACATTTACTTATTTTTTTTATTAGTAATAAGAATTATTATTTTATTAATTTAGTCCAAAAAAAATTATTAGAAACTAAACCTCGTGTTAACAGGCTCTTCATATAGATATACGAAGCTGAAAAAACCGGGCAAAACATCACAATTGAAATAAAAACATTTATATATTTTAGCTTTCAAGAAAAATAAATGACAGGAAAACGTTTCCCTATCTTCTGCCTTTCAAAAGAAAAAGTTCCCGTACAATGAGAATGACTGACCTTTCAAAGAAGTACACGACTGCACAACTATATTACATTATAGAAGTAAGGATATCTACCAAAAAACATATATATATTTATAGAAGTGAGGATAAATTATTTTTTCCGGAAACAATACTGATGTCGTTTGTCGTTTGCTTCAAATTATTATTATTATTATTATTATTATTATATGAAGAGAATTATATTAGATATAAGGGGAAAACACCTGAACACGTAAAGGAGGCAAAGTGATGAAAATGCATTAAATACATTTTACAAAACAAGATAAAGCATTTTCTATTTTCTATTCCGCAGGTGTCTATGTGTGCAAATAGCTGATAATTTTTATAATAAAAGGTTAGCTTTTATTCAATATATATTACAATATTCAACTTTTGTTTCTAACCACTACTTTGTATAAAGAAAATATACTGCATTTCAATTTATTCACAAAAAGATGGCTTAAAATATATATGGAAAAGAACTCAATTTTTTTTAAATTCAATTTAACTAATTTTTTAATATTAAATATATCCAAATACATGTAAAAATAAAAAATGTAAAAAAATTGACAAAACTTTATGCTTTGCATAAATACAGAACGGAAACAACTAAATGGCCTTCCTTTATCCTGAAGGTGATGACATATTTTAACAAAGTACATGAACACTCCACGGAAGGTGATTGCATTCTCATGCAAGTTACTTATTTTCATTTAGCAATTTTTAAAGTTGAGTATATGGGAATTCCACTACCGTCTCAAGAATAGTCACTCGACAACACAATTTATCTCAATTTTGTCAAATATATTCCATCACCCCATAATTTATATTCTTTAGAAGTGAATAATGTTTGAAATTTATTAATTTATATTTATTTAATATGTTTTTTTATCAATAAATATAATAGTTAAATTAACACATTTTCATTCATTAAAATCTTGATATAAACAAAATTAAAATACCAACATTTAATCTTTCAAAAAAATTTAATATTTGACTATAGTTTAATAAATTTTAAGAAGAATTTAATATGAATCATTTAATTTTAATGGATATTAATATAAGAGTATTTAGGAAAAAAACCAAAGAAAAAATTATACTAATTTAATTGTATTAACTTTTTTTTTTTTTTATCTCTGTGCAACTCAACATTGGGTCGAGAGAATAATTTCAAATTTGTAAATTATTTATTAAGGTATCTATATATTCTCCACAAAAAGAACTCTAGCTAAAATGCCTAATTGGTGAGTTAGCTATGAACTTGATCAACCGCTGGCACCGCACACAAGCTATGCTATCAATCTGGACATAAATAATTAAGGTTGAAGTAATAGGCAGCTATTGTTTTCAATTGACCCCACATGTATATTAATTAATTGTATATTTATATTTCTAAATGAATTTTATTTGCAATATTATCTACGATTTAAAATTTTTCAATTCCCATAAAGCGCAATAACAGGAGGGCGATGACCCTTAATTATGACTAAACCTCGAGTTAGAATAAATAGTCCTGATAATAGAGTCTGAATACTAGTAGTTTTACACAAAGAAAAACTTAAGATCTTAAAATTGTGATCAACAGCTTGTTGACAATTTTTCTTCCCCATCGAACTCTTCCATGATATTAAATGTTGATTTTCATTGGTCTATTTAAGCACTGAAAAAAAAAAAGAAAAAAATGAAATAATTTTTTCAAGATCTTTTTAAATACAACGAAGAAGTTATACAGCCCTATGTCCCCGTTTGATGGGACTAATTATATTAAATTAGTTGTCGTTATTAGAAGAACAGAAAGAAAATACATGCATTCATCAAAATCGGATATATAAAACTCATTAAAAATAAAAAAAAGGTAGACCTTATAAACCCATTATATTTATAAATTGCGATAATTATTTGGAAACTAAAAGTATAAATTTCAACGTTGATGGACCCTCCAAAATAAATTTGCAAAATTTGTAAAAAAGAATATGGTGGTCCATGTATATGTACAATCCTGAAGCAATTATACATTCAAAGTAGACAAAAGCTACTTAAAAGAGAAAGTTATTAACCCAAGAAAGCAAAAAGATTACCCATTTAATTTATAGTTTGGCTTCTTCAAGCATTTTATGGAAAATGAATTGAAGCTTACCAAACATAATCAATGCACACCAAATTTCAAATTAAGTGCCGTTTGTCTAATGCCTAACAGCCTAGCTAACTCAAAATTATTGCGCAGAAAGAAAGAAAGAAATTAACATGTACACGCACATTATTGTCTAATACCTAAGCTAGCTATGACATTATACTACATATAGAAAAATTAGGCTTCCATTCATTATATAATACATACGTAGTACGAAAACAAAACACTAACAAAGCTTCAACTTCTAAGTATACAAATAGGTATATTTTTCAAAATCTGCACGTTATATAGCTCATGATTCACTAATTGGTTGGACTTGGTTAAGGGATTCAACAAATTCTCCATGGGGTTTTTTTGGCTCTTTTTGATTTTCTTCGTTCCCAAGTACTCCATTGTCATCACTATTAGTAGTTTGTATTGAGTTAAGCATAATAATGGCTGTTCCGTCAGCTGTTTCTGATAGATTTTGTGTAGAATTCTTTGAACTTGCCCGCTTCCCGTCCTTATAAATCGCATACAGTGCCATTTGAACTGTCCCCAATAGGACTCCGATAACGTTTGGAAGCTGTGAAAATTTTCAATTAATTAAAAATGTTGCTCAACTATATGCATTTATTATTTACTAGCCAGTAACTATAATGAAACCACTTTTTGCAATTGCTTTAGGTTTGGACCTAAACCTAGCTAGGTTAAAATCTATCTACATGTCATTACCTATATATAACATTAAAAACAAGCCATTGATAGATTTAGTTGGTATGTTTGCATAAATTTATTGATTGAATTTCTCGTATATAAATTTTCTGTTTAGATATGAACAATCGTTTGAATTTGCCGATAGTAATAATAGCTATAAAAATTTTTAAGAGAGAATTATTAGGGTTTCAACTTTTTACTACTTATTGCATTATCAGCTAAGCTTTGAACTCAATATTTGATATAAAGAATTCTTTGAGACGAGAGAGATTAACCTACCGCAATGTAGATATCTTTGAGGAGAACACCGTAGAGAAGCCACATAATAGCACTCAAAGTAAGGAAAAATGATAACCAAAATGGCATGAACTCGACACTTTTGGTCCGTATGACCAGCCTCTGAAAATATATATACAACAAAAATCAACCATTAATTTGATCAGTGCTGTTAGCCAAAAATAATAAAAGAAAGAAAAAAACAAACCATTCTAACCATTATGCTCAAAGGCGCTGCAAACACAACAGCAGATAATGCCACACATAGCCATCCAACAATGCTTAAGCGGCTTGATCCTTTGGCGAAGAAATGCGTAAGAACAAGTATAGCGGAAAATCCCCCAATATTCATCACAATTAGTAGCTTCAAAGTCAGCATCTGCATGCCATTAATATATAGATTTAATTATTCGCAAATGATAAATTAATTAATTATTAAGGGAAGATTAACAATTCAGTACCTTAGCTTTCTTTGGTGCATAGATAATATATACAATAATGTAGATGATTTCCACTAGACAACCGGAGGAATTTATGCTAAGAAGAAGATAATCAGTTGATTTCAGAATCGCATAGTAAATCCAGAGCATTGCACTGAACAGTGCAACTACATATGGAATTGAATGAAACCCTTCTGTTGATTTCTTTCTGTAAACTCGAATAAATGTTGGCCTGCAAAATTCGTAAATTTGTTATTGATTCTTAACTTTTATTTGAAAAATTAAATGATATATAAAGCTTAGAAAAAATTTAAAGTATACTTACAAAGGCGCGAGAAACATCATGCCGGAGATGATGTTACCTAGCATATCAATGGCGAAAATGAGCGAGTTGGGGAAGGGAAAGAAAATCAAAATATAATCAGGTGAATAAAATTCAAATGCAAAACCAATAATAATTTCATGTCTTTAACTATAGTATATGTGTATATAATAGTAAGTTTATTGCATTTATACCAAGAATCCCAAAGGTGAATATCAGTGGATGATCAGAAGCCATAGCCATAAATCTCTTGATCAACTTGTGATCTTCACACAAACAGAATTAAAGAAAAGAAGAAGCAGGTTTGGCAGGTAAAACGTAACGCAGGCCTTCTTCTCTTATATAATAACCTATATATACATAAGTAATGCAAAATACAATGAGTGTGACATTTATTAACATAGAGATGAAAGATATAGATATGGTATTGGAGAATTTAGTAAACCAAATTAATTGAAAGTTACTTAACATCATTAATTCATGAAAATCTCTCAAGCCCACGTCACAACAGCAATTACCTGTTCTCTCTCTCTCTATATATATATATCTTTGTGAGTTTGATTTTTTTTTTTTTTTTCATGTTTAATTAGGGTATATATCTAGACACTATGTGAAGATGTGACATGTGGAAGAGTTACTAAGGTTTTTCGTTTGGTTTCTTTTTAGGACAATACGAATAATTTAGATCAAAGAGGCATGATCTCGTTGCTATTAGATACAAGCTAGCAGTTCATTAGGTTAATAGCTTAATTAATGGGTAAGCATTTGTTGAAGAGTAGATTTCAAATCATATTAGGCTTTTCTGTTTAAGAATTCTTTGTTTGCAGTAAGGTGTCCTTATTAGTTATTACTTGATTGAGGCTACATAAATCCGATAGAAAATATGCGAAAATTCTCCTATTTTTATAGAAAATGGAATAATCAACTAATTGACCTTATGATATTTAATATTTGTTAATTATTTATGTGAAATACACATATACTAATCTCGTTTTAAGTAACCTTTTTAAATATGAGACTAATCTCGTTTAAGACCACTAATCTACTAGCCAACTCACATAATAACTTTATTTTTCCATTTCTGTACTGGGATAATTAATTGCATGTGCATGGTATCTCATATACACTTCTTTTCACGTTTTATTTCCCACCATATGAATTTTTTTTTTTTTCCCTTTTTATTAAAAGAAATTATATAACCTGAAAATTACAGTGTTAGACACGTAACCTCTGATTATTCGAGAATATGAGCCAAATTATATAATTATCCTCTCTTTGCAATTTCCATCTTTTTCTCACCTTACGTATTGTGTATTTCTGAAGTATTTTCATTTGCAGCTAGCTAAGAAAAACTATAAGACAAACATAATTGATCAACTGACTGAAATAGTTTGAAACTATTTAAGGTTCTATTTGGTATAACCTAATCCATGTTCCTTCTTTCTTTTTGTTTTTCTAAATCATTTTTAGACCGAAATTTAAATCTTTTAATTATTGACCCTGATATCGTGCTAACAATGTATATGTATAATTTTATTTTTTTATAATTAAAGAGAGAATTAAAGAAAATTTACAAATTATAGTTTCATCTTTGCAGAAGGTAGGGGATTTCCAGTAGTAGTTAGTTATGGTGGTTATTGCGTATCATGATGTATTATATCAACCAAATTCTAATAACTTCTACATCTAAAACTTAAAAATGTACTACTAATTTCAAAATTATTCTTTAGAATATATATATATATTAGTTAGCCTTACAAACTTTTTAAGCTTGAGGTAACTGTGAAGCAAAGATATAAAGAACTCTTAAAAATAGAAAAAAATTCTCTATCTAGGAAGATTTGGTTGTTGGGAGTGTTGGTAAGATGTGAGACTTATCAAAAATATGTTTTAGAGTAATTACACAGATTTCACTCAAAAAGAAAGCTTAATTTCATTATACAACACATATAATTGACTGAAACTAATTATTAAGTATGTAATCACACAACCTCAAAGTCATAACGTAATTTCGTGCAAGGATCCATTTTGTTACTTTCTATTATATATTTTTGGTGTTGGAGATGCATATAAACTTGAGAAAAGAAAATGATATGGTACCAAGATAAATTGATCTTCAGTGCTATAGTACAACATGGTTATCCTTTTAAGTGGATATTTTATAAATACAAGATGAACCTTCTTATCCAATTACACTAATCAAATCAGTGATTATTACAAGATTAAGCAATTACGTTATTGATATTACTTAACAATTTAGTGAGTATGAACAGAGAGAGAAGTTGTTATGAGTAAACAAATTTTGAAGCTGATTCATAACTAACATTAATTCATAAGGGACAGAGGTTGAACTGTTTCACCAAAAATGCATTTGCAAAGAGACATTTGAGTCATAAATGTTGAATGTTGATGGTAGCAAGGGAAAATGAGTAAGAAAGGAAAGATAGATTTAGCTTTTTCTTGAAATGTGATATGCTCAAGCTTTATTTGGGCTTTTATACTTATTTGGATTTTGGATGGTATTTCCAAAAGCTACAAAGATCTCTATTGTATACTATCACAGCCTTATCAAATCGGTTCTATGGTGTAGTGGTTAGCACTCTGGACTTTGAATCCAGCGACCTGGGTTCGACTCCCGGTAGGACCTGATCTTCTGGTTTTTGGTTTTAGTTTGAAATCTTCCATAATTGTTTTGGATCTTTATATTAGTTATTCTTAAATATTGTTTTCTAATGAACCGTTTGATCGAACCAATATCTACCAAATGAACCAACCAGGTTTGGGCAATAAGTCCACCTTTCTATTAATTTTGTTTTATATATATATAATTTTATAGTCAAATGGGCTATAGCTGACCCAGGTCCGTAAAATAATTTTCCCACCTGGGCTAGACGAAAGATAAAGGCTGAAGACACATTCCGCCCATCTTTTTTTTCTTTTTGTTTTCGGTTAAAAGGTCCTTTGAGGCCCAAATGCTAATCTAACCTCGATAGTACTGCACGTTGCAACAAATTTCCCAAAGGAGGGGTTAAATTTTGAATGTTCAATTTAAGGGCTGGTTACCACCACCTGCCACATTCTGATCCTGCCATCGTCTACAACAAAGAATAGTTCAACTTCATCTTCATGAAGGGGATAATTTAAAAATTAATTCCGCCTCAAAAAACAAAATCTGACTTTCTAGATCATTGTTTAAAAACATCAATTTATAATCAACGATTTAAAACGCAGGCCAACGTAACTATATAAATTCCAAATGTTTTTGTTTGTCTATTCTATTAAGATTATTATATACAAGAGATAACACCTTTTTTTTAAAAAAATTTATATCATAAGTATTTCTAGCCTTTTTGGTAAATTTAATTATATTTGTATCACGTCAGATCCATATGAAGAAACGGTTCTAGTTTTTTGTTTTTTTTTTTTTTTTTCTAACTCAAAAGATTTTCAACTATTTAAGAAAATCAAACACTTAATCTCTTCCTTAAGAATATGAATCTCACATTTACCTGTTACCCTTTTATGATATATAATGCAAACTTCTTTGTCTTTTTTTTTTAAAGACGTGAGTCTTTTCCGCTAAGACTAAAATTAAAAATACTTAATTCACATTCCCTTCATTATAGATAAGTATTATATTTACAAAAATACTATTTCCATAAATAAATGTCACATTTATGGATTTTTTAAGAAATAATAATTTTTTTCATATTATTATGTTTTGCAAATAACCAACATTAATTGATATAATTATCAAAAATATATCTTTATATTATAAATAAATCAAATGACTTTAATAAACAACGAGGAAAGTGCAAATGTGACATTTACTCATTTACAGTAAGTATAATATATGTTTATTTGTGATAAATAAGGTTAATTTGATCACTTCTTTGTCCTAAACTCTGTGTGTGCATGTGTATTATATATATATATAAAATAAAATAACGAATAAGAAGATGACAAGTGAGTGAGTAGGATCAGTAATGGAGAGTTAAAAAAGCAATGGGAATCCCAAAGTCTGGGCACTTACAGGGAATCCTTTAATACATGATCCATCTTTGTCCGAAAGAGGAATATACGCACCTTTGTCTCTCTCTCAGTATATAATAATTTTCTTTAACAGTAACTCAACTACTATATTTACTATTCAGTTGACCAGCTCGACGGCGACCGTTACCATTACCACCCCCAGCGCCGGTGGTGGTGGTTGGCCAGAATCTGACACCTCATTCTATAAGCATATCATGCGTGAGTCTGACCCACTCACTTCTCTTGTCATTTTTTCTTTATTATGGAAAAATGAAGGAACCAAGTCAAAAGAAGCCTTCTTTTGTACTATTAAAAAAGCCGCCTTTGGTTGCCTTTTCCTTTCAAACGCTTTTCTTCTTCTTCTTTTGAATTAGCCATTATAATTGCAGAGGTGGATTTGACCTTCTTTCTCTTTTCTCTCTCTGTTTGCTTTGGTTGCTTTTGCATTTTTGGGAGAGGAAAAGCAGCGAGTACAGTTCTACAGAGGCAAGAAGAATAACCCGAGGTAGGGGATGAAAGACAGTTATGCGGTACCACTGCCTCCTCTCCGGACATCGGATCTGGTTGCAGGAGATGTCAACGAAGACGATGGAACGGATCGGCCCAGGACTTACCAAGTCTGGAAAGGCAGTAATGTAAACTCATAGACTCTTCGTAGTTTAGTTAATTTTAGGGGCTTTTCTTTTCTTTGTGTTTGATTTTATGGATGGAAATTAGATGATTGGTGTTGACCTTTTGTAAGATCGGATAGAGAGTTTTTCAAAGCTTAGAATTTGGGTTTGTTAATGATATAGCTCAGCTAAAGATGGGTTTTTTGACGGTACGGTGCGAAAAGCTTTACTATTTAATTTTCAAAACTAGTGGGTATTTGACTTAGTTAGGCGTCAATCTTATCGTTTGCATTTGATTGCGCAATTATCTTATATTTAGAAAAATTGATTTGTGAATTGTTAGGGATCGGTCTGCCAAATGGATGACTCGATTTAGGTTAATTGTCCGAGGCATTTTTATTGGGAAGTTGGATTAATTTTACGCTTCAGCTTCACGTAGATGTAGTTTAATTTTCTAGAATTGACTAGTAAGTTCCTATGTTTCTAGCTTTCCATAATCTTCTTTTCATTTCTTTTGTTGGTGTTTCACTGTTTTACCCATCAGCAACATGATTAGCATACGCATTAGCTGTAGAAAATTATTTGTCCCATAGGACTTGCTAATGAAAAAGTAAGATGTTTAATTTGATGGCGTTCTGCAATCACCACTGTCAATTCGCTGTATAAATTTCCTTTCCGTGAGCTCAGTTCTTCCCCTTGGTTCATCCGCTCTTTGGACAAAGCCTGTAACAGTGTAAATGGTAGTAGTGGTCACCAATTGCCAAGATTAAACTTCGGAGTTAGATAATATGTTGGTAGTACACACATTTTGCGTTAGTTATTCTTTGATGATGTGGAACTTGGAAGGACCTATGTGCTTGTCCAAGTCTAAGCTTGCAATAAATATTTAGTTTCTATAACATAGAAAATATTGCAATTACCTGGATATATTGGAATAAGGGGGCATTACCTCCCAATTATTTAAGCTGATACATAGCCCTCTTGGTTAGTTTATTGAGAGTGTCATATACATGCCATGCACACTCTTCGGATATCACCTTCCTGAGGCACACTAAGGATTTACTTGCTATAATATAGAACATAATGTGATAATCAGTATATTGGAACAAGTGGAAATCACCTTCCAACACTGTAAGCTTTTACCTAGCTTTATTGCTTGTGAATTGAGGTTGAGCACTACTTTGATACCAATCCTTTCTGAGATGAGCTTGTCTATGCAGTTGGTCATCTCGTTATTTGATTCTGCTGACAAGTGCTTGATTTCGTGCTTTGGCCGTTTTGTTTGCAGATATTTTTCCTTAAAGGGAGGCTTATTTTTGGACCTGATGCAAGATCCCTTCTGCTAACCATATTTCTTATTGTTGCTCCAGTTGCTGTTTTTTGTGTCTTTGTAGCAAGAAAGTTGATGGATGATTTTCCTCATGACTGGGGAATATCAATTGTAGTCATTATTGTTGTACTCACATCATTAGTAAGTCATTTTCCTTCTCTAAAAGTTATTGTTTCAGATTACATTCCTATCTGTTAAAGTTCAATATTTTCCGATTGTCTTTAACTTTTTATGATACATTTTGCATCCTGCTGTTACCTCCAAGTGAAAGAAAAATTATCATGAGATCCACCTATGCTTTTTCTAAGACAAGTTAGCTTATTACCTGGCTTCTATTTGAAGTTCTAGCAAAAAAATGCCATTAAAATTTAAAATTATGTTATGGCTTCTCTATATATCAATGGGAGAATAATGAAGCTACTGGTCAAGCTGCGCATTGTCATAATACCATGTCATGGAACTCTGAAAGATATGAATTGTGTTAAAAGTGACATTGGGTGACGAGGTTTATCTTTAGATATTAGTTTGTATGTGCCTGATTTGCTGTTAAGATTTCGCAACCATACTGCTCATGTTTAAAGGGAGCTGGTGTTGGCTATTTTCTTTATAAACCTGGGGAAGAATATTCTAAAATCAGAAAAAAAAAAGTTCAATTTGATTATCAATTTTACTTGAAACAAATTATTAGAAAAGATTGGCTTAACAGAAATACATTCCTTTTTTGCTGTTGGATTCTGGAACTAATATATGTACTTTTTTCAGGATCTAATACTTCTTCTCCTAACGTCAGGAAGAGATCCTGGTATAATTCCTCGTAATACTCAGCCTCCAGAGCCAGAAGGTTATGAAGGGCATACTGAAGCTACAAATGGCCAAACCCCACCTTTCCGTTTACCACGCACAAAGGATGTTATTATCAATGGAATAATTGTGAAGACCAAGTACTGTGATACCTGCATGCTCTATAGACCTCCACGCTGTTCTCACTGTTCAATATGCAATAACTGTGTGCAAAGATTCGATCATCACTGTCCTTGGGTTGGTCAGTGCATTGGATTGGTAATACTCAGTCTTCTAAAATGTTCTTTTTTTTTTTTTTTTTTTTTTCAAGTACTGTGATACCTGCATGCTCTATAGACCTCCAACGCTGTTCTCACTGTTTCAATATGCAATAACTTGTGCCAAAGATTCCGATCATCACTTGTCCTTGGGTTGTCAGTGCATTGACTTGGTAATTACTAGTCTTCACAAATGTTCTTGTTTTTTTTTTTTTTTGTTCTCTCAATCTCAAAGCATTTCTGGAAAGTCTAGAAGTCTTTACTCAAAGAAATCTGACGTTTTTTTTTTTTTTTTTTTTTTTGTTCTCTCAATCTCAAAGCATTTCTGGAAGTCTAGAAGTCTACTCAAAGGAAATCTGACGTTTCTGTCTCTTGTCCTCTTTTTGGTTGAGGTGTTTCACTCGATTCAAATTATCTGCATCACCAAAATCAACAAATACTGGGATTTTATTATCCTCGTGAACATTAAAGGAGACAATAAATTAATAATATGCTTTTTAAGCAGCTCAATAAGGGAAATGCTTTTTAGATATAATAAGTGCTTTATTTTTCCATGTTTACAAAAGGTCTTTGGACATGATGTTGCTAAAAAAATAGCAATAGGACGTTCTTTTCAGCTATATTTTTATGTATTCATTCAAATTGTGCATATAGGGTGTTGGTCTTTTCCAAATTTGAGCGGTCCTTTTGATTTTGGATGCAGCGGAATTACCGGTTCTTCTTCTCATTTGTGTTCTTAGCAACTATTCTTTGCTTATACGTACATGGATTTTGCTGGGTTTATATCAAAAGGATAATGAATAGTGAGGAGACAACAATTTGGAAAGCAATGGCCAAGACCCCTGCCTCCATTGCGCTACTAGTTTACACCTTTATTTCAGTTTGGTTTGTCGGTGGCCTTTCTGTTTTCCATTTGTATCTCATCAGTAAAAATCAGGTAAGAAACGCTTCAAGCTATGGTACATTAAGATTTATAATGTGGCCTTCTAGTGGAGCCCTCCTTTCGTTGGCTCTCGCCGAACACATGCATTTAAAGTAGAGATATCATCTTCTAATTAGCTATGCCTTTTCTGCATATATGATACTTAATTCCTGTAATTGAATCATTTTGACTTTTCTCAAGTATGGTTTTTTCTTTCTCTTATTTTTCTTTTTTCCTCTTCCTCTTTTGGCAGTCCACTTATGAAAATTTTAGATATCGGTATGATGGACTAGCCAACCCATTTGACAAAGGATTATTTGAGAACTTCAGGGAAATCTTTTGCTCCAGTATTCCTCCATCCAAGAACAATTTCAGGGCTATAGTTCGGAAGGAGCCTCAAATTCCACCTAGAACGGTAGGCACTTTTGTTAGCTCAAACATGGAAAAGGCTGTAGGTGACATAGAGATGGGGAGGAAGCCTGTATGGGATGACACTGCAAGAGAGGTGGATGATTATGGTAGAACAGTCCGAAACGACGACAATCTGGATGAGGATGGTGCATTGGCTGATGTTTCTCCAGACTTAAGCAGGATCCTTCCCCCACAAGGTTTGGAAGGGCGTAGTGTCTTACATTCCAGGCGCTCTAGCATGGGAAGGAAAAGCGGAAGCTGGGAAATATCCCCTGATGTTCTTGCCTTGGCTGCTGGAGTTGGAGAGTCAAAGCGGGTCACTGGCAGCAACATGATATCAGAAACTCAAGAATCTCAAACAAATAGCAAGATGTAAAGTTAAAGAAAAAGAAACAATTATTAAAATCTTGTGAAAAAGAAGCGAATCACTTGGATTTCATTGATTGAATGGTAATACTTTTGTGTAGTTAATCCCTGGCATTATTTTGCTGTGTTCCTTTGTATGTAAGCTTTTGCTTTGAAGGTGTGAGAATTAGGCATTGTAATTCTAACAAAATGGAATTTGTTCTGCGGGGAGCTTTTTTTTTGTCTCCCCCCTCATTTTCATTGCGCTTGCGCGTGTGCGTGTTGGAATGAGTTTCATTCGGTACTTTTGGTGGAGAAAGCGGTGCGGTGCCCGTTTATGGCTAAACTTGGAAGTGTGCAGATATGCATGCAAATTTTGCTAGGAAGCTAGAGAAGAAATTTTCGATTCATTGATAATGAAAACTTGCATTAAAACTTGTGATCCGCCCAAACCCACTTATTCGGGTCCACAAAGCCCAGCCCAAGCATTACATTAAAAGTCATAGCACCAAGCTGGCGTGCCGGAATGAGATTCGTCATTGCAGCAGAGGCTTTCTGCCTAGTTACAGTTACAAGCATTCAAAAACATTCAGTAATTGCTATCACTCGTCTAAGGTAATAAATTTAAATAACGAAAATCACTGGAATGCGTAAGGATGGCATCATCATAAAATAAGAGGGGGATCATTTTCCAGAAAAATAGGGTGAATTTTGAACTGATAAAATTAATTGTTTATAGAGGCTAAACAAAACAATAACATCCCTGTCTTTTGACATATGAGAAAATTGGTAGCTAAAATCTCAATGCATCGACTGGAAGCGTTTCATGATGATGAGACTCATATCCATATAACGCTGAGCACAATTGGAAAGGCAGGCTGATTCACTTGAGCTGAACTTGCTCCCAGGTGTACTAGTGATGCATTTGTCCCAGCATTCACTCGTAAGCTTTGCCACCATCTCATTAACCATAGCCTTTTCCTTCTCTTGCTGCACAATCACGAGTCTTTGAGAAATGAGAATCATGTAATGTCAAAGGCATTAAAATTCTAGCATACCAAAACAAATATTGAATCCTTACAACATTCATATTAGAAACTTTTCCAATAGAAATTTTTCTCGTTCATTCACTTTGTAAGCACGGATTTCTGTAGTAATTCAACATTGATATGCAACCAGTACTCGTAAAATAGTACTTCTACCTTAACAACTAACTAGCCCAAAAGTATCAAATCTTCCTTACACGGGTATATCATAAAACTCCCTCAGAATAGAATACGACTAGGTAGCAATGTAACTATGTAAGCACAAGTCAGGTACCAACAACCAATCTAGAAGACAATCAAGAAATGATACACCGAATCCATCAATAGAAGGCATAGAATTAAAGGTACAGTCTCCCCATTCATCATTGGGACAAGAATTCTCACCAATTTGATGACAGTTACTAAAAGTGGTTAAACCCACTGCTATTGTTTATCCCATTTGGGAAGCTTATGAATCTAAAACAAGGTTTGAATTTATTCATTCTATCCATAATTTTCCAATTTCTGAGTTGTTCACATCAAATCCATTATCCTAGTTAGGAGTTGGTCAAGTTCCTGAGCCATTAAATTCACAAATATCAATCTCGTAAGTTACTTGATAAATACTTCTGAAAGCTCAATTTTTTCTTAGATATAAAACTAATATTTCAAACTGAGATTCTGTAATTGCAAAAACCAGATACTTAAACAAGTATAGAATCACTGAAAGAGTTAGCTGAATTTTTTATCTGTCAATATTTAAACAAATAAAAAGTATCAACAGCAAAATTGAAATTGGAAAGAAATCAAACTAAGCGACCGATCGAAGGAATGGAATTTCACTTACGTTGAGGAATTGTTGCATTTCAGCGTTATTGAGAGTGGAAGGATCCATTTTGTTTGGTGCTTTATCCCTAAACCCTCTCTATTCCAACTTTGCTCTCCGAAAAACCCTAACTACAATGCTTCCGTTTGATGGTTGAAACCAGATATAACTATATAAGGGTTGACGGTTGAGGCAGCTCTCTGACTTGGCCCATCGGCATGTACCATACATTTTAATGGTCTAAACCCAATGGGCTGCCATAAAACAAACTTTCATTTGTAGGCTAACCGTTAATGGGCTGCATTTTGAACTTCTTAGAGGAGTAACATTTTATAAAATAGATTTTTTTTTTTTTTTTTTTTTTTTTTCTCTGCAATTTTGAACTTCTTAGAGGAAGTAACATTTTTATAAAATAGTTTTTTTTTTTTTTTTTTTTTTTTTAGAGAGAACAAAACTCTAAGGAAAACAACCAGAGCTATCCCACTAGTAAAGATCATCATGAAGGAGCCAAGACATTTTTTTTTTTTTTTTTTTTTTTTTTTAGAGAGAACAAAACTCTAAGGAAACAAACACAGAGCTATCCCACTAGTATCATCATGAAGGAGCCAAGAACAAAGACCTTGTGGAGATCAAGAAGCTGATGCGTGCCCATACCATACTTTCTTGCTTCTTTAGAAAGAAAATCTGCATAAAAATTGATCTCCTTATAAATGTGTTTAACCACCCAACACTCAAAAAGCTCATTGAGTTGGATAAATGGAAGCTGTTAAATAGGGCAAGACTAACCTATGCTCAGTGTTTGTGCTCACCACTTATCTAATACACCAAATTAATTAAAAATAAGTTTTTGTTATAACAAAAGTAATTTTGACTATTAATGTTTGGGCTCACCGCTTACCTAATATACCAAATCAATGAAAATGAGTTTTCGTTATATAATGAATGTAATTTTAACTGTTTATTGAGAGAAAAAAAAAAAACAATAACCATTTTTTAAAAAAAACTGTTGTTAATTAGCTTAATGTATGGAAGCACCCATACACGAAATGTAAATAAATCTTGTCTGTAGAATGGAGAATTTTATCTAAAGGATAAAACTTGCCGAGCCACCCATACACTGAGTCTTAATATATTTTTTTTTATTATGAAAATTGTTCTTGTTTATCATATTTTTTAATATATAATTAAAAATATTCTCGTTGAATAACATTAAATGGAATTTATATATTGAGTATAGATAAGTCCTTCCTAATAATACCTGGGATCCAAGTGTAGCTTGGAACAACTATTAAGTGTGGTTGTAGGATCAAATATTATTTTTTTTTTTTTTATCCTTTAAGGATAAATATATGTTGGTTTCTTTTTTATGTTTAATAAAAGTTATTTTTCTCTCTTCTTTAAGGCAGTAGTTAAAGTTATTTCTCAAAACTCTCTTTAACTCTCTTTACAATTTAAAAATAACTTTAACCAATTTAATAAATCACAGTGTATTGAAATGTTCAAAAATAGCTTTTTTTTTTTTTTTCAAATTATTATTTATATTTACTACACATAGACATTCCAACCAAGCTCATGACTTAGCAAAATATAATAGTAGAAATTTACAAGAGAAAAGAAGGTATTTCTATTAACCTAAAGTTTGACAAAAAAAAAATTTAAATAAAAAAAAATGATCTAAACGAAAGTGAAAATGAACAGAATAAGTGAAAAAGTAAAAAATTTTCTGGTTATATAATTGTGAAAGAAGTGAGAGGCTTCTATTCCTACTCCTACTCCTCAAGGAAAAGTGGTTCAGCAAACTTTCTTATGCATTAAGCATTGCCTTTTAATTCTTTATAATCATTTATTTTGTCCCAATTAATTAAACATCAATGCTTAAAGGCATTACAAGATTATACCCAAAAGATAAACAACTAATTAAAAGTTATTTGTTCTAGTAGAACATGGTTATCTGGGACGTAATGACTTCTTAATTTTTTTTTCTTTTTTGCATTTAAACCATTCGAAATTTAAAGCCTCAAAGTTTGATTAATCCGAATTTGCGTTTGATCAAGTCCACGAACTAGAAAAATTATGATATAAGTCGTATTTTAAGTTTGGCATTTAAAATATTTATAAACTTAATTGATTTGAATACTTTTTACTGTTTATTTTAATATAAATTTTTATATACTGCTATTATAGATTTGGTTTATATAAATCTTTCAAATCAAATCGTGAACAGTAGGTGAAAGAAAGGGGTTTACTTACACATATAAAGATGGAAAAAAAAAAAAAAAACATGACTTTTGTTGCTGTTGTCCTAAGCAATGACTAGTTAGCACTTAGCAACCAAAAACACAATTGGACGCTTTAGAAAGGGAAAGGAAAGGATCTTTACTCCATCAAATCTGACATTGCAAATTTTAAAACCAAAAAGCAACATCTTCACAATGAAGGAAAGTACCAATTCATGTCCTACTTAGGAAACGGTCTACTTCTTTGACTGTTACACCTTTTTGCGTTTTTTTTTTTTTTTTTATTTCATTTATTTATTAAAAGCAAGGTTTTTTTTTTTTTTTAATGGTTTTTCTTCCGAAACCCAATTACACAACTCTTTCAAATTGATAACCCTAATAAGCAATTTCCTTACAAATGCAAAACAATAATTGATAATAATAATAAAATTAAATAAAAGTTTGATATATTGCGTTTGTATTAAAATTTTAAATTTATGACTGTTCTCATAAGTTAACCAGTAGTCCCACCTCATTATTATTAAGCAGAAAAGAAAAATAAAAAGAGGATCTTAAACACCAGCCTAATTGTCTACGTTACAAATAAATTTAGAGTGCTTACAACAATTGCTGTGTCATACATTCATAATCTAAATACATCCACTCTGGAAAGTAGAAGTTGCGACTGTTTTGCATGAATAATCCTAAATTAAAAATCTCATAAAGAAAAAGAAAAAAAGAACTGCCTTTGTTCAGAGCCCATGGCCACTACAGATTAAGAAAGCTACAAGAAAAAGCAGAAGCATATATACAAAGAAAAGGAAACATGGATACAAATCATTTTACAACATACTGATTACTTCTGGGAGATCACTTTCATTTCACTTGCATGGGCATGCATAGTATTCGTATTTTCTGGGTTCAAACATGAACTAATGGGCAACTTATTATTGGATGGTCTCCCGTCAAATAATAATTAACCAGTTCTTAGGTATATTCTAATTTAACAATAATATGAAATTTATGGAAGTGGATTAATGTGTAAGAGATTGATTAAATGTGTTGCTTAAAGCTTAATTTTGGAACCTTTGAAAAAGTTTTCTATATTTGTCAATTGCTTTATCATTTTTTCCGAAATTAGTCAATTTTTCAGGAGAATTATTCAGTGAACATTTCGAAGAATAACGAATGTCTCTTTCCAGGATGATCGCACTTTTGAAACTTGTAATGGTAGAAAAGTCGGTATCTAAAATTGTTAATTAGAAGGTTACTGACTTCCAAGTGCAAGTTTTTAGATGCAATAATGCGGATTCCATTTACATTACACAAATTCTCTTTACTATCAATTAATTTCTTATTGTGTTTCATTTTCATCTACAGAAAATCGGAAAGATTGATAAACATACCAGGAGAAATTTTTGTTTTCCAAATCCGTATAAAATTGAAATGAAGAATATTTATACAAAGATCTTTACTATATGCCAAAATATATAAATAAAAAAGGTAATTAAGGGTTTAATTATTTTCTTTTTTTTTTTTTTAACAAAAAAATCATTGGGGAAGTTGATTATCGTTGGTGATATTTGAAACCTAAAATTAAGAAAAATCATAATTTAATTTATATATAAGAAAATCCGACTTAAAACAATTAAAGGTTGTTTTTATATATTTTTTTATTTTGATTAATCTTAAATTCACGAAGAATTAAACAATTTCAGTATCACTTAATAAAAACTCGTTAGTGAATTCTCTGCATTCAACGTATGTCTTTTTTTAACCTAATGTATTAACTTAAATGAGATTAAAATATGGAGTTTAAAAAATATTATTGACTAAGTAATATAAAAATGGAACATAATTTACATTCAAAAGCTTCTAAAGAAGATCAGAATCCCCCGTCATTTGCTAATGTGGCAGCAGATCCTTTCATTTCAATCAATTATAATGTTTTATTATTATTATTATTATTATTATTATTATTTTATTAATATTAATGTGAAAGCAAGAGATTTTTTTGATCTAGTATTAGCCCAATAAATTCTCCCCTCCATCTCATCACCACAAACTCATCTATTTATATAAAGAGCCCTCTCTTCTTCTGAAACACACTCAGCCCTCTCTCTCTCTCTCTCTATATATATATAGTGCAAGCACCTTCAATTCAGGTGCACTGCGTCTACCTGTTAATTGGGTTGGCTAGCAGACATTTAGCTTCTTTGAGTTTTCAAGATTCAACAAGTACATTAAAGAGTACTTTCATATATTAATTTAGTTAGCATGGAGAAGTTGAACTTCATGAGAGAAGGAATGATCAAACTGCCTCCTGGTTTTCGTTTCCAGCCAACAGATGAAGAGCTTGTCTTTGAATACCTCAAACGTAAGGTCCTTTCATGGCCATTGCCTGCTTCCATCATTCCTGAGATCAATGTCTGCAAGTTTGACCCCTGGGATTTACCAGGTATACCACTATCCTTATTATATATTGTTCTTCCGCCTTATTTTTCTTTATTCAATATACTGCATTACAATATATATTAATTAAACCTGTCAAATTTTGAACTCACATACATTTGATAAACTGAGCTCCATGATATTTATCTAATAAACTTCAACTGAACATAGAATATGTCATTTATTAATATATAAGTTTTGTTTTTTTTTATATAATTTTTTAAGGTGATATGGAGCAAGAGAGATACTTCTTTAGCAACAAGGAAGCCAAATATCCAAATGGAAACAGAATCAATAGAGCAACTGCTTCTGGGTACTGGAAGGCAACTGGTGTGGACAGACAAATTGGTTCCTCAAGCAGCAGGAACAATATAATTGGAATGAAAAAGACTCTGGTTTTCTATAGAGGAAAGACACCAAATGCCTCTAGAACTGATTGGATCATGCATGAATATCGCCTTGTTAGTTTAGGAACTACAGCTTCCAATTTTCCACTAACAAACAACTCAGTCCAGGCAAGTTACTGATGTTACTATATTTTATTATTCATATAATATTTCTTGAAATTTATAATAAGAATCAATATAACAGTGACTTCATTTCCAGTATTATAAATTTATAATACTCGACTAATAAGCTGTATATTTTTGTTTCTTTGATTAAATAATCAAATTCCAAGTTTATGGTGCTGCAGAATTCTTTTAACCAATTGGAGAAGTGGGTTCTCTGCCGAATTTTTTTGAAGAAAAGAAATAGTGAGATCATTGAGGATTGTAGAAATGGCAGAATAAATAATGCGGAGCCAAGGTTTTATGATTTTATGACGAGGGACAATGCTAGTTTTGATTCCGTTTCTTCGTCTTCCAACTGCAGTAGTATTACTGATGAGGCTTCTTCAAGTGGAGAAGATTTTGATGGTGAAACCAGTAGCAGCCACAATTTCTTTTAAGCTTTTCCTTTTTTATAGCTGCGATCGAGCTATAGAAACTTAGCAAAATTTTCTCTATTGTTCTTGTCATGTCTGGTTGCTGCATGTGTGAAGGAAATGTATATTATATTATTGAAGAATAATATTAATATATATATCCTATATGTTAGTAATGCATTGTTTGCTTTGCAAACTCAAAATGTAAAATTAAAAAGTGAAAATTTGTGCGACTATTAATTTCAACCATTGGATATAATTATAAGTGAAAAATGGTTATTGATGAATTAATCAAATGTGAATTCTTTTAAACAACAATTTGATTAATTTAATATTTGAAAACCTTGACTTGAATATGCCATGAAACCCAAAAAAAAAAAAAAAAAAAAAAAAAAAAAAAAAAATGTTTATGATGAATTAATCAAATGTAAGTTTCTTTTTAAAACAACAATTATTTAATTTAATATTTGAAAACCTTGACTTGAATATGCCATGAAACCCAAAAAAAAAAACCAAAAAAAAAAAAAAAAAAAAAAAAAAAAAAAAATCATTAAGAAAACATCAAAATTAAACATATCTTCAAATCAAGAAATGCACTATCATTACGCTAAATTTACCCCTCTTGTTCCAAAGTAATATATATGTATTTATTAGCATTCACGTCTCGAGGCTCAGACTATTAGGATAATATTCAGACAAATCATTCCAACAATAAGTAAAGGAATTTGCTTTAAGGAAAGCAGCAAAGGCAGTAAGCCACCATATCTAGAATTTGAAGATTGAAGAGTAATTAAGAATATTTAAATATGCACAAGCTATTCAAATTTCAATTCGTAAAAGTGAAATTCCTTTAAAATATCCATGCCCATGACATGAAGAACTCTTTTGGTAGGTAGTTATCATTGCTTTTTGTTATCGTTATTATTACTTTTATTGCTCTCTACAAAATTATTATATTATTCATAAAAGTCGATATTCATGAGTCGGATAAGCATATTTATGGTTTTTTTACTCATTTCTCAACTGTTGAAGCCCAAGCCCAATATGCCTTCCCTTTTTTTTTTTTTTTTTTTTTTTTTTTTTTTTCATTGGTTTTTCCTACCGCTTTTTTTTTTTTTTTTTTTTTTCATTGGTTTTTCTACCCAACATACAAACCAACTGGAAACATTCTTTCAGTAAAACAACGTTTGACTCTTTCAACAGTAATATTAGTTATTACAGGCAATATTAATTATATTAATGTTCAAGCTAATAGCTATATGTGGAATTAAAATAATCACTTACCCAATAGCTATATGTGGCGAAAAACAACTGTGATAAAAAATAATAACAGGCTGCAGAAACCAATACCAGAACACAAAACCATGGCTACCCTAACTGTCTTTCTGCCTTTATTCTTTCAAATTCTCAACTCTCTCTTCCCATCTCATTCATTCTCACATTCATTTTTCTTTCTATTGTTCTTTCTTTTGACTCTCTTTCAAGTTTCTTTCTCATGGGTTGTGGAGGATCAAGGTTTGAGTCTGAAACAGAAAACTTGTCTCCCAGACTGAGGCCACTTCTCAGACGGAGATTTCAAGAGATAAAAAAACATATAAAAGTAGTTTCAGAGACACCTTCCAAGAAAGAGCTGCTCAAAGATGCTAACCCAGACCAAGAAAGTTTCACTCGGCTTCTTGGTTTTGACCATCAAAGCATTTCTTCGAAAGAAGATGAGCTGCAGATGGAATCTGTTTCTGTTTCATCTATTGGAACGACAATTAAACCACTTAACAAAGATTTTAAGCGTGATCATAAGGATGATCAGGCAGCGGAAGCAAGAAAAGAGACAAATATCAAACAGGAAAGTAAAGACGAAGATAAATATCAGGGAGAGGGAATGGCCTCCACCGTTGAGGAGGAAGATGAGAAAAGGGAAGAAAACGAAGAAGACGAAGAAAATTATTCAAGTCTACGCAGCTTGAGTGAAGAATGTGATGGTGTAGGATCTCCAAGTTTCAGGGTATATTATATAGAATCACTGGAAAATATTAAGGAAGAAGATGGTAAGTATCTTCAAAACTTCTGCATAGTATTTTTGCGTTATTCGATGGTAATATTGATAGTGAATTCTGGTTAATGCAGATATGAATAATGGCTCGGAAAAAAAATCAATATCTGATGACCGTGATATGACTGTGGAATCTTTAAATTCGAATATTGTATGTCTCTTTACATTTCAGTTTTCTGTCACTAAATTTAAAGAAATTTTATGCGAATTAGTAAACGAACAAGTTGGAAATTGAAGTTTTTTTATCTGTTTTTTCATTTCAGGATTCTGTTAGGAAGACAAAGAAGAAAGGAAAGAAAGGAAGCAGATTAAGAAGGGTTATACCCATAGGAAGACAAGCAGCTGTAAAGAATCTGCTGAAGGTCAAATCATCCTGCAATCCAGCCTGTGCTGGCAATAACAATGCTAGTCTACTTGAAGAAAAGAAAATTAATTGATTTTATTAGATTTTTGTTCTCTTGTAATGATTTTTTCTCCTCTTGTAATGAGTTTTTTCACTACAAAAGAGCCATGTTTTCTTGCAAAAAGATAGGAAATTTTATGTAAAGAAAGATTTCTGTGTGATATAAGCAGTGAGTTGAAAGTGTTTATGTTTTGCATGTAATTCGTTTAAGTCTCTATTCCTGGTCACAAGTCATTAGCCAATTATCATGTTGGCAACTTTCAATGTCGTAACATTTTAGTGTTCTTTCTTTCAGAGAAATATTTCAAATGGTCCATTCTTACACATTACAATACACACTAGTTATTACATCAAACCACTGCAAAGCAAATGAAAAACAAGCATTCACCATCTCACATGACAGATACACAAACATAGTAATATTTTAGTCATGCAGAGAGGCTGGTGCTAAAATAAAGAAAAAGACAGAGAGTAGCTGAAATATAAGGGTCCATAATAGCCTAGACAGAGGGGAAGGCAGCAGACTCCATAATAGCCTAGACAGAGGGGAAGGCAGCAGACAAGAATACCTCGTCCTCCATGAAAATTTGCAAATTCCTGGATTTCATAAGAAATTTAATTGCTTCTTCATCAAAAGTTAGCAGGAAAGCCAACTTAATCAGCTCGGCCAATGCAAATACGTGATCTTCATGCTCCCATAAAACTCCCTCAGCTATTGCCTCTGAGAAATATGTTGCATATTCAATGAGATTTTTCTGTCCACCAGCATAGTCAATCGTCCGTGTGAAAAATTTACAACTTTCTCTGTCCCACCGTGCCATTTGGCTAGCTCTTGCATTCACGGGTACACCAGAGGAGAGTGATAAACTGTAGCTTACGTTTATTGGCTCCTCGGTCTCCAAGACAGTGAGATTAAGAAGGCACTTCACAGCTTCATGCCTCTTTATTGCTTCCATATTGAAAGAAGGCTTTGCTAGGAAGCCAAGAATGAGTCTAACCAGTTCTTTGCCAATCAAAATACGACTCGGATTCACCTGCTTTAGTTCCATGCCATTTTCTAAGGAGAGTTCTTTCATCTGTACAGATTCAGAAATTGTCCGGATCCCAGTTCTTCTGTACATTTCAAACAAAGAGCTGCGGGGTAAAGAAGCCACGCTTGGCTGAGGATACCAGACAAATATTGGTTGGGTTGAAAACTTCTCAAAAAGCTCCTTCAGTTGAAGGTCATCTGCTATAAAAACGTCACGCTTGTCGAACAAGAAGATTTCACCGGAGCATGAAACAACAGGCAGCTTTGCCAAGTCATCAAGCAGAGCTTTTGCTATTTTTGAGCCGCCGTGCTTCATAACACACTTCCAGAATGCACAACACTCAGCATGTGTCAATTGACATCTTGTTCTTTCCCAGGACTTCCAAAGCTTGCAGTAGTCATCAAGTGAAGGACTGTATTTAACACCAAAACTCTTGGGAAAAAAATCAAGCAACCCCTTTTCATAGTATTTCTCAAGAACAAACAACCGACCACCAAAGAGACCATCTTTATCATGTAGAACACAGTTTGGTGGATCAGCCCATATTCCCACTTTACTTCCGCATGGAATCCATATCTTGCAAGCTGCTTCAGTACCTGGCTTCCAGTTATATTTATTCAAGAAATCATATATTCGAACTATGGTGGTCGATTCAGCTATGGTGGTCGCAATCAGAATGGGAACCCCAAGTAACTGGCGACAATGAGCATGCCCTCTCTGCAATCAACGACAACTCCTATGGCGCTGAGCTCTCTTTTGTTCATGATGTTGATTGTTGGAACCAATAAAAATCTTCATCAATGAAAAGACCATCAGTCCGCTTCACAAATAAATCCCCTTCCCGAATCAAAACAAGCAGCACTCCGTCTGGAAGTTTCCTGTAACCAGCATGGTTTTAACCATTTTTGAGAAAGCTTTTTTTCAAGAAAAGCCCTCTGGCAAGGGGTCACCCCGTTGCAATAGTATCTGAATGCATTCCAGCAATGAAACAACATTTGAGAGTTATGGGTGCTAGGATTCCGGGGAAAAATGAGAGCAGAAACCAAAGCTCCAAAACCATCTTTAAATTTAACAATAACGCCATGCTCTTCAAGTTCTCTTATATTCAATGAATGGCCTTTCCTAACAATTGACGCTGTCCATCATATGGGGAAGGAGGAGTAATTGAGAGATGGACTCCCACTCAAGCTTCATACAGAACGCAATCCTTGGTGGAGATCGATAATCACCAAAGCGGGTTTTAACCACTGCACTTCACGGAATGCAACTTTTCCCAAGATCTGAAGGAAATTCATAAAGTACCTTTTAAGCTTTTCCTGTATGCAGACGAATAGATGAAAAGAAACATTGTTCGTCTGAATGGAAAACTTTACCCCAGCTGCTTAAAAATTTTAACACAAAGACCGCACAGCCCTCCTCAAAGTCTAACCTTTACTCCCAAGTTGCTTCAAACTGTGTTTTGTAAGAGTTTTGATTTCTGTTCCATAGAACTATGATCAAATCAATGGGAAACCACCAAAAACCTCTAGAAGGCACCCATTTTCAGGATCAAACAAAAAACATTCATAACCCGGGGCCTTAATAACCAAGATTGGTCTTCAAGCAATTTGTATTTTTACATGCCAACAAGTTTGGTCCACAGGCCACAAATGGCGCATGCAATCCATTGCCAAAACCAAAGCTTCAGAAGTGTAGACATGCTGAACCATGAAAGGAGATTTCAGGTGGTCAATGACCAGCTTGTAATTTTCCAATTGAAAGCCACTTGGACGCCAGCAACTGAGTTCTGTTTTGAAACGAAACAATTTTTCATCCCCTATACTACTGTTGATGCGATTGAAGGGATGTCACTTAGGCTGCTTGCATTGCCCATGTCTGATCATACAGGACAGATCCAACGGGAGATCTTTGCAACGGCCCCTGTTTGTAAGCCATCTTCCTTCCCTGACACTATGGTGAATTTTCGGAGAAAGAAAAACGTTCCACTCAGAAATTTAATAAATTCCAGCATCGAGATCACATTGCCACAAGGAACCATGAAGCTGCGACAGCAGACATGAGACGTTTTCGCACAATTCACAGGCTTCTTCATAATCAAACATGACTTCCAACGTTTTTAGCTCTTCCCCCTGTATGAAAAATTTCCTACCATAAAAGTTCGATCAATAATGAATGTTTAACAAGGACAGCTGCATTCGCATGAATTTTCCCCCAGTCTGAGTTTCCGCTATTTGACTGAAAAGCATAAAAGACTGTGATGGTGGTTTAGTATCCATAACAGCCATTCTAGTTATTCTCAGCCAGCTCCAATGCCCTTTATGCAAGTTAAGAACTCTCTGGCAAATGCGACTTCTGCTATATTTCAGGTTTTGATTCCAAATCCAACAGCAACGAATGCGTTCCTGCTGGTTAGTGGTGAAGACACAGTAGAATTCCCTGGCATTGGTGGAGATATAATAAGGAATATCAGCACACAACGATAGCTTTCAGGGAAAACTCTATGAAGTTGGCTTCCCGGTTGGCTCTTTTGACCAACGTAAGAATCCAGGCATGAATAGTCTTCCTCCCAACTCAATATAACCTCTGTTCTCTCAGGGATTTGAAAACCAATCCAACTGCACCCATTTGCCCTCCATTAGCTGGACAAGACGCACTCCAACTTTTTGTCACGTCCCATAGTTTTATCTACAAGAGGCATAATACGCCACACAATCATCACCTCTGTCTTTGACAGATACTTGCAGAGAATGAGCTTTATATAAAAGAGAGCTAGGCAATGACAACTTCCGGTCACCACTAACAATTTTACAGGTAAGAATGCATACTGATATACATTTGTAAGGCTTTAAGATTCACATGATTTTATGAAACCAAGTCCACACCAATGCGCCGTTTGAAACATACCCTGATGGCTTCTCTGTGTAACTTATGGCATAAAAACAAATTTTGCCCACGCATCTGAATTCTCTGTTCAATCAATCAACCGTGATGCTTGACCAAACACTCAGATAAGCACAGTAACAACCACTTTTTGCTGATCATTAATATGCACAACAATACACCCCTCCCCGTCTTTACCTTCATATTTTATAATTGGAATGTTTAAGAAACCTCAGTGGATGCGAACTTGGACTGCCAATTGGTCCAGCAAGGAAGGCAAAAACTCCAAATAAGTTTCCTTCGGAACTCCCATTATGAATTAGAGCCCTGGATACACTTAGCAAATACCATTCATTGGTTTTCACTGATCCTACTCCTAGAAAAATTCAGTAATTTCATCATACTCTGGTTGGTCAACCACGAAGAATTCCAGACATACCAACATGGAAAGATAAGATTAATGCAAGCTCAACTCCTTGATTCTTGCCATCTTCGAAAATATTCCGCAATTCCAGGCAATATTCTAACGAACTTCGCATGGTTTATGAAAGAACTTCTGCTCCGTGTACGATTCACTGAACAATATGTTTCTTCAAAGCCATTTTGCTTTGATCGACCCCTGACAAGATTCAACCTTGATAAGGAAGGCTGCTGACCTGGAAGGAGCCACTTAATACATTGGGGGCAAATCTAGAACAGGTGCGTCTCTACCGAATTGCACAAGGTGTAGTTGTGGAAACAAGCGAGTTTAATGCATTAATGAAAAGCAAAGGGCACAATCAGTCAAGACACCATTCCTTGATCCATATATGTCAAAAGTATTGTTTCTCTGATGATCTAAGAAGAAAAAATCAGCTTTGAATTATATGGGCAAATTCGGTAACCATCCTTCTGTAGGAAGAAACGCATAAACCCAGGTGGAGCACTTGTTCCCCTATGCATTACGCTCTCCATTAGAAATGCAAATGATCACGCCACCCTCCACTTCCATTCTCCTATCAAACTTTATTTTTCCTGTCTGACAGGAAGCTCTGGCTTCTCACATAGTAGGCGCATTCTTCATTGGAGGCATCGCCAGTTTCTTGCTGACGAATAGAGCCCTGTTGTGTAAGCTTTTCAGCATCAATATGTCTTCTGTCACAAAATTGGGTCTCTTTGTCATACTATAGCTTTTAATAGAATTGAGCGCGGATCCCTCATTATCCTCTCTCACCAGAAAGGCGCTTTATCTGAAAGGAATAACAGGACTTCAGGATGAATGTTGAGAGTTCTGCTTCAACAGCTTTTCATCTGCAAGCTCAAAGGCAAGAACTATGTTGTAGTAGGAATGAGGGACAAACCATAATCTGTTTTATATCAGAGAGAGATGTTCTCTCCTCTAACCATTCAGGAACTATTACCAAGTTGCACAGTATGGACAAGGCTTTTCATGGAAGCGTATCTGATACCCATTAACCTTGAAATGTTGAGGTTGAGCACTGATAGCAACACACTCTTGAACCAATTCCTGTTGATCACCAAAAAGAAGTTGTTATCTCAACTTTGAGACATACTTTATAGCTTTTTAAGCCCAAATGACAACAAAGAGAGAGAAAAAAGATGTGCAAGTTTTAGAGAGAAACTGGAAATGCCCATATGATCTCCATGACAGGTTCTCATTCTCATATATGACAGAATTGGACAGCATATCTATAAAATTTAAAGAGAAATAAATGAATAAGTACCTTTCTCCCCGATATAACCGCGTTTCCTGTGGCCTTGTTTAGTGGAATTTCCAACATTGCAAATAGACTCTATATTTTTAGGAGAAAATCCTTTCTCATTATTGAATATCAGTAATGTTGCAGGAGCACCCGTGGCTGTTATATCCCGCGATGTTATGACAAACTCAAGCGAAGGATCTATCCTTTCCGGATACTCATTGTCCTCTGCATTCTGCGGAGGAAAATTTAATTCAACGCTTTTTGCAAAATATCTAAACGGAACTCTATACTTCAAATTCATTTATACAGAACACACTGCTCAATCGATATTGACATAATAATGAACGATCAAAATTTCGAAGTCTGAATCAGTTGAAAAATCAGAACGCTAACAAAAAGAAAAAGAAAAAAAAAAAACCAATGCATCCTTCCATAGTACATGCCAACAAAAACGGGGGAAAGGCAAAACAAACAACATAACAGAGGTGAAACGGTCACATCCATTAGCATTGTGTCATATTTAGGAAAATAGATAGAGAGGAAAGAGTAGTAGCGTAAAAAACCTGTATGAGTTCCATAAAATAGTGGACATCCTTAGTATAGAGTTCATCAGAGAGGTATTTAACAGCCTTGTCAAGCATGGTAGCCAGTGGATTCTCTGGTCCTCCGATGGAGAACCACGTCTTCCTAAGATGCTCGATGTGATCACGAGGAGTCGCCATTG